ACGGTGACAACTTACTGACAACCCTTGTTGTGTAAGAATATTTTTTTACAAATTAAAAAAAAACCTTGGTAAAATAACCATGTAACGTGCTCTATAACGATTTTTACAATACCATAATTCTAACAGTTCATTTATAAGCCCACAACTTAAAAACCAATCACGGAATTCATAGTACGGTAGATCCGAACGATTTCTTTATTCTTGATATCAACATTTCAAAATAGTATACATTTACCCAAAAAATAACCAATTTCATAGAATCCCCTGATAGATGGTTCCAAATACTATTTTTACGAGCTTAAATGGTTATCTCGGACATGTTTCGTGACATTTGTGCTAAAGATTTCCTTTACTGAGTCTATTCAAAATTTTAGGTTTACATTTTAAAATGTCCATGAACTTACAATGATTTTTAAAAAATGTATATAAATACAAACGGTTTACTAAGTTCTAAGTTTAATTTCAAAAATGTGCGTGAATAGTTAAAACCTAAAATTTTTTCTCGAAGTGCCAATTATAATATACATTATATCTAAGCTTTATGTATGGTTTATTCTACATATTTTCGTTTGTGTTTTACCGTAATAGAATATATTAGGTATACATTATACAGGCACCGAAAGTTCAATCAATAGTTTTTCATGTTTACATGCGTTTTAGATATTTCATATTGGAGATTTTCTTGTACACGAGTATTTTTATTCAATAATTATAATTTTATTAACTGTTAAACTTTTTAACTTGTTAACTTTTGTTAACTGTTATTTAATATGCACTTTTATTGTGTATTATAATCAGGGCCGTAGAGAGAAAAGTTCAGGTCTGGGAGGAAAATGCTTAAGGGCCCCTATTAGTGGTGGTTTCAGGAGCCACGGTCACTCTCCTTCCCGCAACCTCTCACAAGACCAAATAAATTTCAAATATTTATACTTTTTCTATTTCAAGTAACAAAGTAAAAGCACATATTTGTAAACAATATTAGTTTTTTAATTAAATTGCTTTTTAAATAATTTTATATCTTTTATATGTATTCATATATTACATATTATTAGTTATCTTTTTTCGGACCCTTTAAAACGTTTGGGCCCGGGAGGAATCCTACCTTTCCTCCCCCCCCCTAACGACAGGCCTGATTATAATCTATCTATATTTAATAATTTTGAAAAATATTGTTACATATTATTGCATTTTATATGTTTTAATAGATAATAATATCATTAATATCTAAAATCTAAAAACGCCTTCAATGACTTTTGTTACTATGGTTACACCAATATTTTTGTTGATTTTATGAAAATACATTATATTGTTTTAATAGTATTTGATGTTATAATATGTCGTATTGCTTATTAATGTCATGATTAAATATTCTATTAAGATAATTTTTTGAAATATTTTATATATATTAGAAACCAGTTGTAAGCAATGTTTTAACTTATAATTCGATGTATTTATATTTTCAATAAAAATAGTTTTAAATTAATTTCAGATTATCAAACAATGATATTTGTAAGTAAGGCTGGGATGGGTTTTAAAGCACATTAAAATTGTTTTCCAAAGTTAGTTTCATGATGCTTATTTTATAACAGATTATAATTTTTTTCATTTTTAGTGTATTTTAGAGTTTTTAGGGTATTTAACACTAAAATTAATTTTTTAAAGTTTAATTATAAAATGTTTACTTAAAAAGGTACTTATCTTTTTAATATAGGTACTAATAAAGTTTTGGCCTAGTCGAATATTATTAATCGAGCGTAAGTTTTCGAACGGATCCATACAAAGTAAAAATGGAAATTACAAGTAGCGACGGTAAAATAAATGAAAATAATTATTTTATTACATTAAAAATCGATGTAAAATAATTTAAATTATTTAGTCTTGCAAAAATATTTTTGAGTATAAGAATTACGTTTATTTTAGATTTTACGCATGAACACAAGAATAAAGATTATTTGTTTTTGGTTTTACTCAACTATATCGGATTTTTATTTTAATAAATATCAAAGTAATATTTGTTTATGTATTATTTTAATAATATAATATTCGAGATTGTCAAACATTTTTTTTATACATATAAGCAAATAGATTTTAAAAAAAAAACAATTGGTTGTATTTAAACATTTTATAATGCATTTTTATTAAAGTAAATTTAATAAACATTAACTATTCATCTAATTCAACATCAGAAGTCAGAATTTCAAAAATATTTTTTAATACTGAATATGATTATCTTCTCTCACAACCAATATTTAAAGAGCATATTAAACAAAATTAAACTTAATATATTATCATATATTTTTATTTTACATTATTTTATCATGCAAACTATTAGAAAAGCTTTTCTATATTTATGATATCTAGATTATTACATCGTTGATCCGATACCAAAGCGAATACGAGAACATTCATCTGATCGCATAATTGCCAAGTTCTAAATAAGCTATAGAAGAAGACTACATCAACAGGCCCCACGGATGTAAGGTTGTTTAAAATTAACCTAAAATTATATCAATTGGCTATTTATATTTAGTTTTTGCAACAATTATCATTAATAGTTTTATTTTTAGCGATCCCACAAATTATTTTGATACTAAGTATTCAAGACCAAAGTATCGAATTAACTACAATGTGTAATATAAGTAGCTTATATAATTTATCCGTGTTAACTGTAATTTCATACAGTTAGTTATTAATATTAATTTAAATTGAAATTCGTTTCATATTTGTGATGTATAATTCTTATTATTTATATTATTACTCCTAAACTGCTGGATAGCTTTTTAATTACCTATATAATTTGATTTTAATTTTAAACTATTTTCATTTGAATTAAATTACCGTAATAATACCTATATAATTATAAAGTTTTATAATTAATACCCTCACAATTTTATTCAACGTTAAAGCTTTGACAAGAACAGAATAGTATTATTTTTTTCATCTGTTGGGGACTGCTTACAATCGAGTAACGACCCCTGGGCCTTTACTGGACTTAATCCGAGCTTGTCAATTATACCGTTGTCAACTACATTTTAATGGTAAATCTTATAGACGTGATACGTATATATACTTTGTACTATGTAAGTACGAGTAGTACCTAACTATATGAAAATAATACGAAGCGAACACAGTAATTTCTTAAAAAGCGCGTTTATTATTGACGCTTCGATGTACGCTTTTTAGTATTAAGGTAGGTTGATATAATTATTTCTTAAATAAGGTAGTATTTAATTATAATAATATACATTTATACCATATTATAATTATTATTTTTAATTTCATTGAAATAATCTATTATCTAAACAGTTATATACAATGAGTAGGTTTGATAAATAACAATAAGCCTTAAGATTAGGAAGGTTACTCAGTAGTAACACCCAGAATTATATTAAAAAATGTATACAACTCGAAATTTAATTTTATCTCTCTGTAAATACTGTAAAACAGCGAAAATATAATCATAATAAAAAAATAACCTATCTATACCTTTATCGCCAAAATTAATTGCAGTATTATTAAATTATATATAAAAATAATAACATTGTCAATCAATTTTACAGTTATTATGTAATCATGGTTTATTATATAAGGTAACATAGATGACATATCAGTATTCAATACTTTATATCACATTATAACTACGTATTACAAATTACAATATTAATTGTTTGTAAATTTAATTTAACTTTGCGCCACAACATAATAATATAATACTTTCAAATATTTACCATTACAAATTTACAATTTTGTTCCTATAGTTTTGATCAAGTACTTTGATTGACTAGAATTTACTTAAAACACTACCTACTTACTTCTTAATCTACAAAATTATTTGAGCTAGATCAATAGACAGCATAATATATTTTTAATTACGTGTTTGCTTTTATAGACCTTTAAATATTTTAATTTTAGTATGTATTTATCCTTATATTTTACTATACTTAATATATTTTAAAATGTATTGCTAAAAACTTTTTTTAAATCAACTTTATCAACTATATATAAAATTCGAATTCACCGGTTCGTCCGGTTCACACATCGCAAATATGTATTACTACTATTATTCTATATTATGTTACGAAACATTTAATACTTAAATGATCATACTTTTTTAAATATGTATAAAACTATGAAAATGTGAACTTTTTATTAATATTAACTATATTATTTTTATACCATGGACAGATGTTTAATAAAAATTAAAATAGGTTATTAACTTTATACTTAACATTATTGAGATTCTATTCAATAATATTGAATGCAGTTCAATTTTAAGTTTAAATTCTGTGTTATTGGTCAATACCATATTTATCTTGATCTAAACTACTATGTAAGAATTAAACATATTAAGCAGTAGATACAATGTCATGTTCATAACGTTTATGTAATAACTAATAGTAGTATTCACTGTGAATAAATCAGTAATAGGTTACATGAAGTATATTTATTCTTTATTAGAGATGTACTGGAATATCCTAATTGCTTTTGAGACATCTACTTACATCTCGTAAATTAATTCTTAGCTAGCTACGAAATGTATCCAAATAATATTGGTTCCCAGGTTGTTACAAAAGGTAACAACTTTACATAACAATTGGTTATTAAAATTACAAACTTAATTCGGATGTCAATGTTTAAGTATGGGAATAAATTTGTATAATGTGAACGAGTATAAATACGCTTATTATACATGATTTTATGTAAAATTATAATATTATAATTGTTATTTACAAATTTTTAATCAACGATGCTACACTACGATTAAATACGATCCTTAAAAATAAATTTGAATAACTTGAAATTATGTAATACATTTTAAATGTTGTTCATACTTCAACAATAGGTAATCGTAAAGACTTAATTATAATAGTGCTAACCCAACATATACGCATATTTTCATCAATCTTTAACGAACTATATCAAAGTTGAATTTATTTTTCGAAAGAAAAATATCGGTTTCATATTAAAAAGAATAAAACGGTGAAATTAAAAAAACTTACCTCCGACGCCTGCGTTTGTGATGGTCACCCAAAAATCGATAGTCTTCTCGGGACCCAGCTCCTCGTAGTCCCACTTCTTCTTGACCCGGACGGCGCCATTCGGCTCGACTGTCACCCAAGGGTTCTCGTCCCGGATCTTGAACGTTTCCTTCTCAGTCTCCTTTTCTAGTGGGAACACACTCCGACCCTCCTGTTCGCCATCAGTCTCAGTGAACTCTATCCGTTTGGTAGGCCGCACAGCCCTTGTCACCCGACGTTTGTACACCCGGTGATCAGCTGCATCATCGTATGCACCAAAGTCTTGCATGAGCACGTCATCGTCGAGCACGACGAAGTTGTACTGGATCCAGACGGTGGCCGGCCGCTCGGCGACGCGGGACGGCTCGCGCAGGTCGTGCGCGTTCACCGTCAGCTGACACTCGAAGTACTCGCGAGACCGGAGTACGTCGTCGGACACAAGCAGCTCGCCCGTTTGCGGAACGACAACAACGGCGGCGCTGGGCGCGGACAGCCGGTAAGCGACCCGGTCGCCGTCCGCGTCCGACGCAGACACGTGGCCCACAGCCGAGTACCGGCCCGGGCCCGCCGTCCCGTTGTCAATGCCCAACGCGAATCCGTCCACGTTGATCTTGTACAGGGCCTGTCCGAACACGGGGCTGTTGTCGTTTTCGTCCAGCACGTCCACGTGTACGGTAGCATAGGCCTTATCGATACTGCTGCCGTCGGCCGCCTGCACGATCAGGTCGTATGAAGAACGCTGTTCCCTGTCCAGCGGCCGCTTGGTGACCAAGTGCACGCCTCGGTAGTACGACTTGTTGGTTATGTTGCCAGCGATGATGTTCTCGGCCGTCTTGAGCGCGAACGCCCCGTCGTCGTTTCCGTCCACGATCGCGTACCGTATGGGCAGCCCGGCTACGCCTTCGCCGAACGCGTGCAACACCGGCACGCCTCGGACCCTGGTTCCCGGCGGCTTGTTCTCCGATACTTTGCCGTCCGGGTAAGCCGCGTCGCCGGCGAACCGGAGCATCTCGCGCTTCTCCAACACGAACAGCTGCATGTTGTGCGTGAACGTGGCGTTCGGCGACTCCTCCAACACCACCAGGTTGACGGGCCGCTTGACTAGCAGCCCCAGGTCGGTGGTAGTCATAAGTAGCCCGTCCTTGAGCACGGCGAAGAACTGTGAGAACCCGGTCTCCAGCAACCGGAAGTATGCGTATTTGTTATCGCTGACGAACTGCTTGATGCCGTATCCCGGGTACACGTCGCTGGGCAGTATCGCTATGTTGTGGTGCATGTGCGGCGACAGCGGTGTACTGCCGTCACTACAACCGGCGCCTGGCATTCGGCACACTGTGATCAGGGCCACAGCGACCGTCAGCAGGGCTGACGTCCTCGACGACGACTTCATCGCGGGTCTACTCTCCAACCTCCGCGTTTCCGTCGATTCGTCTGTCCGTCTGTCAGAGCGTCTCGCTCTTTCTTTCTGTTTTTCGGTTATATGAATAATATATTTGAGCTTATATGTTTAGATTGTCAGTGGGCAATCTCTAGTGTGAATGCGTCTCCTCTGAAATACAACAAATCAATACATTAAAATTGTTATATTTTACAATTTTATTCAAATTCGAATCATAGATTTTAGACTTGTTGACGGAATATCGTGAAGTTTATACCAGTCATGACTCATGAGACAGATAACGTCTACCGAATCACCGAAGCATTATGCACATACGCATTAAAGCCATTACGAAAATATGTATTATATACATGATACAATAATAATAGTATATGCATATTATTGTTATTGCACATTTCAAGTTTAGAATAAAATGTTTCATTTAATTTACAGTTACTATACTACACATATCTATAACATTGTAGAATTATTAATTTTATGATTACGACCAACAGGGATGAATCGATAAACTGTGAAGTAGTATCAATGACAATTGTTTACAAAGAAGATTTAATAATAATTGTATGGAAAAAATTAAATTTCAGTTTAAATTTAAATAAATCATTTTTTTACTATACATTTATACCTATTAATATATCCTATACCCTTATTAGTACTTATTTTCCTTACTCTGTTCGAAGCTTTACTATTTGAGTAAATTCTTTAATTAGGTATAATATTTTATTTTTTGCGATAGATTTTAGAAAACAAAAACCCAATTACACAGTGAAATAATTAGAAATAATTATTTACATTAAACAAATAATAGTAATATTATTTCAAAAAATGGATAAAACTGTAACTCTACTTGTTTCTGCACTATCTTAATTTCATACAAAAAAAGATATAAATGTTCCATTTATAATTAAAGGTAATTTAAACACGTTTTTATATTATATTTTTTTAAATATATATTAGCATATATTATATAGACGGCCATTAATATTACAATATATAATATATATGTAACATTGGGATACATAAACCACTGTAAAATATAAGCTTTGACACCCTCGCAGTTTCAAAGAATCTATTGATATAACTTTTATTGAAAACTGTCAAGTAGTATTTAAGTCAATAATGAACAAGCATAGAAACTTATATAGATGTATAATACATAATTTAGCAAGTAAGTCGTTAATATATAAGAGGATCCCAAGAAGCAAGTTATTCTGAGACGATAAAATATTTTGTTTTAGTAATGTCACCACCGCAGTGTGTAGAAGTAGAATCCAGCTGCTGTCATAGATTTCAACAGGAATTTGCGAGTGTGTGCGACTGTCGTCCACGGCAAGATACGAACGATTCTCGCACAAACCTCAGTGAGATGTTATTTATTTGTTTAAATGTAATATAAAAGTATTTCCGACCGTAAATTGTATTAAGCTTTCTTACAATTTTTTAACATTTTTATGTCTGAACAACGCAAGGGTATTAATATCAAAAATGGTCATCAAGTTTAAAAAAAATACCGGATATAAAACGATAAACGTACATTATCGAATCTTATATTAAATTATCAGTAATGGCCAAATTGGACATCGAATTAATAATTATATTAATTATAATATTATTATTAATAATCATTAATTTAGTGTTCGGGGGTCAACGGCGTATTACTAAATACGAGTGATATGACATTTTTTTTTCGTTATTTAGAACGTTAAATGATAAAATGCGAATCCAACGATTCGGAAATACTTAACTTCTTTTCCAAAATTCGTAATGCGCATTATAACAGTGGTGGATTTAAGGGGAGCTAGGGTCTTCGCCCCCTCTAACTATTGGCCTAAGTTAGATTTTATTAATTCAATAGTAACAAATATTATAACTGTTAATAAAGAATCGATTCTCCAAAATTATCACTGCATTTTAGACTATGGACCTTCCTCAAAATTAAATCCTGGATCCGCCACTGCATTATAATACATGATACATTATATAATTTTATATGGTTTATTTTGCTGTTTTTATAATTATATTATTATTATTATTATTAATATTCAAAAATAGTTACGATTATATTATGTCTCGTTTTTCCTTAAGCGCGTATTTATTATATTTTACATCTGAAGTTTATGTATGTGTATAATAATTTAATACGATACATGCTAGTAAAATATCAAACAAATAACCGTGTACCTAAACATATATTATAACAATATAGTATACACAAAATGATGGAACAGATTTGGTTAAAATAATATATTCATTAAATAAGCTTCTTTTATGCAGCCATATGAAAATACTCAAAAAATCGAAATTCAACGTATAAAATTTATTTGTAAATTATAATAATATGGTTCTTGTTTGTGAACAACGAGTGTAGCCAATAAAAAATATAGTCAGAACCGAATAGAGATGTCAGCATACATTTTGTTTCGTGACATTAACCTGAAAGAATAAATGATAACTCCCAACCACAAAATATTATTTACCCCCCATGGTGAACGCTAACATAGGATATTATAGTAGTCGTGGTACAATATAACACCGTATTATACGTTTCAATTTAAGATATTCAAATAAAACAACCGGCTTGGTTTTGAAACACACAGAATTAAGGTCCAAACGATTAATTTTCCAAATTGTGTGCATTCTCAGTTACAGGTGACGTTTAACGTATCTATATAAGTATAAATGGTAATATTATTAGATGATTTTATTATATTTGTTCACAGACATACAACATATTTAATTAAATAAAATATCGGCCTTGCAATTTTTAGACACAACTAAATAGATACGCAGTGTGGCGTGTATTAAATTCAAACAACATTCGATCGATAGATAATAATTTACAGACATTTTTAGATATTTTAGTATACAATCGAAATATTAAAGAAAGCCCTTGAATTTAAATTTAATAACTGTAAAAATACAAACAAGAACACGAATTTATCGTTGACTTTTTTTTTTTTTTTTTGTATTAATCAAAATGTAAAATGATTTACCGATTTAAACGTAGAATGAAACAGAGCTTAAAATATCATTTCACAAATTAAACTGAATATTTTATATGTATATTATAGTACCTATACCATGCACATAATATTATAATATGATATTTACTTGTTACTTCAAAGGCGGAGTATTTAATACGTTTTTTCATTACAAAATATCTGAAATATATGCATATGTGTGATTAACTTTGATTCTGTTTAAAATACACGACATTTTAAATATACGTGTTTATATCACAAATCTATTAATAATAATATACCACTGTAATGTATTTTATATCATAATATAATATATATGCGTATGTTGAAATTACATAATATCAGCATTAAAATCGCTGTCTTATTCAGCAAATACTACTGACTATATATAAAAAATTATAATATATCTTTTGAAAAATAATAATTAAACTCATTAAGTTTTTACTATTTTTATGAACACCCAATATATGCTAAGATGATTTCGTATGGTCCAGCTGAACTCCTACTAATCCTACTGAAGGAAGTGCTTTGAGCGTTTTAAAATAATAGTTTTACAAAAGTGTTTTAATTATTAAACTAGTTATTGATTTTACCGATCCCCTTATAGATATATCCTTTATAATTTTGATTACGTCATTCATTAAAATATATATATTTCGGCAGTAGTGTTTACAACTACTGTATATAGTCTATATAGTATATACACTATAATATAGAGGGTAAACAATAAACAATAATTAATAATTTATTGTCGAACACAATTTCGAATTTTAAACAAGTACCTACTCCTCCATACATTAATTGTTTATATGCTCGTATCTCCATTAAATGTATTTATTTATTAGATTTAATAATTTGAACATAGGACATTATTTTAACCTCAATTTTAAAAAGGGTTTATTTTTAATAATTATATTTGATACAAGAAGAAAAAAAAACGTAGATAAAAATGATATTAACCAAATTAATAATTTTATACATTACACAAAAATAGAATACTCTGGTATCACATATCTTTATTTTTTTATATTTCTTATAATCTTTTATAAGACACAGAAAATTCTTACTCTACCCTTAAGTATATAATCTTCCATTAAAATTCTTCGTCACGGTTGCGTTACATTACTCGTTAATTTATTGATTAAATTCTTAAAACATTTCGTACACACAAAGTCAACCTACATATTATGTAGTGTGTGCAATACTAAAATGTGGTAAATGATAACTTCGCTAAAACCATCAGATCCATATTGTATATACAAAAAATAAAAATACAACAATGCATACAAATGTTGAAAAACTTGTTTTTATATATATAATATTTCGTGGTGTTAAATAATATAGAAAAAATATAATTCAATGAAGAATAAAAATCAAAAATATTATTTAATTGAATAGTTTAATTTAAATTTACATTTCATTAATCAAAACTTCAACTTTATATTTTCAAACTCTTTAAGTGCTCGATTAAGTGGTAAAATCACGAATTTTGAATATGCACATCAAAAGATAGTGTACCATAATAGTAAAAACGTGAGACTACAGATTAAAGAAATAGAATATAAAATTAGATAATATTTAATATGAGTAAGTACTAATAAAAATGTTCAAAAAAGTGTTTTCATTCTTATTTTTTTACAATACTGACTATAACCCAAATACATTAATATAAATCTAATAGGTTATTAGATATAGTATATAAATAATTAACAATTAAACTGAATTTAATAGCTTAATAGATTCTTGTTAGCATTACGCGTCATTGTAATTATTGGCCAATTCCTAGCATAATTTATTAGTGCCGCGTTTAGGTAAAACAATAGATAAATATTACAGACATGGAAATATGGCGCTTAAAAGCATAGAGATTTTGCTTAAATATCAATTAAAAATTTAAAACAAAGAATGTTTAGTCAAAATTAATTAATTACCTTAACACTCATACCTACCATTTGTTATATTTTATGAATAACTATTACATAGCTTAAATTTTTACTCATAATCTTGTAGCTAAAGTAAAGTTAAGTATTTTATACAACCTTAAAACTCTAAATCTTCTACTTTCTTTTCTTTTTTTCTAATTTTTAAATTTTTTAGTGACTACCTTATGTCACTTATATCACTTTATTATTATAATTTATATATTTTAATACAATTAACGTTTTACAC